GGTTGCATTTTGGATGGTGACTCCTCCCTCATTTTGTGTCTTGTAGTCGGGGGCTCTCCTGGCTTGTGGTATTGTGAACTCAGGGGTGAGGAATGAGTGTGATCCTGCCCTTGCGCTGCTCTCAGATTACGTCCTTCACAACAGCAACACCATGAGGATTGGGGCCATCTTTGGGTAAGAGGACGGTCCAGGCTTCAATTTACTTCTGCACAGAACGGCCCGTAGACTTCTCCAATGACATGGTGCTCTTTTCCAGGCTGGGATTGGCTTATGCTGGGTCCAACCGAGAAGATGTTCTGACCTTGCTGCTTCCTGTGATGGGCGATTCCAAGTCCAGCATGGAGGTGAGCAAACCGTGCTGTGGGTAGCTTGAGCAACAGTCAACTCTGCATGTTGTGGAACAGCATCAGAACCCTTTGGAACTCAAGATTGTCTGTCCGTCTGTCTCTCTCTCTCCTCTCTAACCTGACTTTCTTCCCAAAAAGGACCCAAGGCGGCTTACGCCATTGAAAGACAGTATTTAAAGTTTAAAACAATGAGTAGACAACTATGCTTAACATCACTAAAAGACAATATTTATAAAGCTAAGAACAATGAGTATAAAGAGGCATCTAACATCATTAAAAGGCAATATTAAAGCTAGGAACAATATGTGTACATATTGAGTGGTCTATCGACTAGATAGGCGGGATATAAATAAAATAAATAAATAAATAAATTGGAAAGGAAAAAAAATGAGGGGCTCAGACTGATTGGCCGTCAGCTGACTTTGATTTTTTACATTATAAGCTTGATGCAAGTTCCACTCCTTCTCAAATTGGCATCATCTGATGACACAAACGTGTGGAGCAGGAGACTCCCAGGTAGTCTCAAGGGCCTGAGTGGTTTGACATTTCTAGTGGTTTGACTTGTGTAAATGACTGTCTCTCAAGCATTTTACATGGGTATCTTAGCAGAGCAAATCCAAAGAGGACATTAGCAGCTCCTCCAGACAGATACAAGATCATCATTTTCCTTGGCATTGGACAGAATCCTATCCTGCAACTATGCGCAGCTCAAGGTTGCAGTCGCAATAGTTGTGCTGGCACCGAGGTGGAAGTGCTGTCTTTGAATATCTTTGTGCGTGTCACAGTCATTGGTGCAGGGGGCACTCAACCAGTTATGCAATTCTCTAGCACAATGTCTTGAGGCTAAGTGTAATGCCCGGCACATGTATGCTGGTGTAACTTTATCTTATTCCAGCAAGAGTAAGATACTGGCCTCCGCTGCTTACAGGGATGGAAGAAAAGATTGATTTTAGTAAGCATACAGTTATTGGGTGTAATAGAACATAAATATATTAAGGGAACTAGTGAAGCTTTTTGGTCTTTTGTACATGAGAGTTAGCAACTTGATTTGGAAAACTTTGGGAAATAAATTTAACCTGAACTGCTGAAGTTCCGTCAATATGCTTTTGTCATAAAGAACATTAAAAGGAGTAGCAACAGCTTACAAGGACTTGCCCCACAGTTAAGTGTGGGCAGATGGGATTGGAAAGGCTGGACTGGAAAGGTGACCTTGATATTCTTCTCCCATGGAACAGAACAGTGTTCCTGGGTATGAACTCCCTTCTTTAGATGCTAGCTTAGGCCAGCAATGGCAGACCTATGGGATGCATGCCACAGCTGGCACGCAGAGTCCTGTCTGTGGGCACGCAAGCCATAAGTTGCTGGATCGCTACCCCCGGCAATCAAACCTGAGGAGGTGGCTGCAGCCGCAGTGCTAGCACCCCGACAAGTGGCAGGCCAGGATCCGGAGTAGCTGGCGCTGGCAACGGTAGGCTGGTCAAGCTATAGGCAGTAGCGGGGTTGGGCACAACTGGAGGCAGATCCAGAGTGGGGTCTGGAGGCACCTCTTTGCCCGGGATTCCCATTCTTCTGCCACCACCTGCTGTGTTGGTTGGTTGGTTTTTTTTGCAGTTTGGGCATTCGGGTTCAAAAAGGTTCACCACCACTGGCTTAGGGGCACCACAAGACTGTAGTGATCAGGGAGTGTTGAACCCCTAACAGATGGACTCTCGTCAGCTCTTGCCTGCTCCCTCAGGGAAAATGAAACTCATTTTGCCAGCAGTATCTGGAATTGCCTAGAAATGTAAAACTCAGCAGCTATTCTTTGGAAAGTGTCAGTCTTTGTGGCCTTAACAGGCAAGCAGAGGTGAACATGCACCATAGGAGATCAAATGCTGTGGCCTCTGCTAACACAAATGGAAGATGTTATTTTGGACTGCAACTCCCAGAATCCTCCAATGGACAATGCCATTCCTGTGTTGTGGTCCAAAAAGGCACTGTCCCAAAGCTGCCTGACCATTACTATAGCTGTGCAAGAACAGGGCTGATCACTTTCCCCAGGTAGTCTCCTGCAAGGTGTCCTGTTGTGACATGAACTTCCTCCTCAGGTGGCCGGTGTGACGGCACTAGCTTGCGGAATGATTGCGGTGGGCTCCTGCAATGGAGACGTCACTTCCACCATCCTCCAGACCATCATGGAGAAGTCTGAGACAGAGCTGAAGGACACGTATGCCAGATGGCTACCTCTTGGTTTGGGCTTGAACCACCTGGGTGAGTTGCCTTCCCTAAGCCAGTCTGTGGTTGGCGAAGGGGTCCTTCCGTATTGGAGGGAAGGGGCCGGGGTTCAGAGGTAGCTGCCAGTGGAGAACTTGTGCGATGGAATTTCCCTTCTGACTTACCTGTTCAGAGATTATGGTAGGGGCCGTGAATGAATGGATGGGGATTCATTCCATACTCTTCAGGCTGTTAATTCCCCAGGCTGTTAATTCCCCAGACCTTGGAAAAATTGCTGTCCTGAAATAAGACTCGCAGAGTCCTAGTGGCAAAGTGCAATTGTAAAAGCCACTTCCAGATACAGTGGTGCCTCGCACAACGGGTGCCTCACACAACGATGAATTCACACAACGATGCCTTTTTCTGTTAAATTTGCCGCCTCACACAACGATGTTTCCTATGGGGAATTTTCACACAACGATGCCTCTTTTTTGCTCCTGTAAAAGTGCCTTACAATGTTTGGAACCTGTTTTAAATGCTTGCAATGGTTAGCCCACCTCCTGAAACCTATGCAAACTTATTTTGGTGTTGTTCTGACACTTCGTTAATTTGTGGTGATTTTTTGTTTTTCCCCTCATTGAACTCCATGCATTAACCGGATTAACCGGTTTTCAATGCATTCCTATGGGAAATGGTGTTTCACAGAACGATGTTTCACACAACGTTGATTTTTTTGGAACCAATTAACATTGTTGTGCGAGGCACCACTGTATTAGGGCCAGTAGGAGCTGTTTTGTTTTTTTATCCTGGCTGGATGTCTACAGGGGTTTGCAGTCTAGTTAGAGAGCTTTGCTATTGTGGCACACCCCGCAAAATGTATGTGGGACCTTAACAATGCCCTGAAGCATCACAGCATAAGGTTTCACAGAATTATTTACTTGTTTGTTTGTTTATTTGCTTGCTTACTTGTTTTTATTAACTACATTCCTATCCCGCTCATCTAGTGACTAGGCACTGTTGTGATCAGCTAACAGCCATAGATAAACCAAAAACATAAATATAAAATCCAAACAACAGCCACAACAACCCCAAAAATAAAATAAACCCAGAGGTAACAGCAAATCAGGATCAGCATTCAAGTCATGGATCCACGAGGATGTCAAAGGGGATAGGATGTCCTAAACAGTACAGATTTCACACATTTCCTAAGGACCAGAAGGGAGAGAGCCTGGCATATATTAATGGGCAACACATTCCATAGCGTTGTGTCCACCACTGAGAAGGCCTGGTTCCTGGTGGTTGTTTTCCAAGTCTCTCTTTGGGGGTGGCTACCCATATCTGCAAGGCTTGGCTGGCCAAGGTGGGCAATCTTAGGGAGAGATGTTCCACAGAAGTCACGCCATGTCTTTAAGATGAAACATGACACTCTTTGTTTTTGCTTGGGAATGCCAGAGCCATGTAGATTTTTTTCGCTCTGAGTTCTCTAGCTCCCAAGTCAATCCTGTGACCTTATCTTGAGATCCTGTTGTGATGGGGTTGCCCCTTCTTTTTGACAGGAAAAGGTGAGGCCATTGAAGCGATCCTGGCAGCCCTGCAGGTGGTGTCAGAGCCCTTCCGCAGCTTCGCCAACACACTGGTGGACATCTGTGCCTATGCAGGTCAGCCCAGACACGATTTGGTTCTTGCGACCTCGAGTGGGAAAGAGGGGGGTATAATGGCACTTCACCTCCCGTTTTCGCTCGTTCTTCCAGGGTCTGGCAATGTGCTGAAGGTCCAGCAGCTTTTGCACATCTGCAGCGAGCATTTTGATTCTAAAGAGAAAGAGGAGGAGAAAGAGAAGAAGGAGAAAAAGGATAAAGAGAAGAAGGAGAACCCAGCTGATATGGGAGCCCACCAGGTAGGGTGAGGATTCTAAGTTTGTGGACAGACCGGTGGCTTCTTTCCCTCTCTCAAAGGGGTTGGGGAATCAAGGTCCGCTTCATGTGGCAATATCCCATGGTCTGTCCTTGGCGCCTCCAGCTAAAAAGCTAAAGAACACTGGATGGGAAACTGCTTTCACTGCCTCAGACCCTGGAGAGCCACTGCCACCCATAGAATCATAGAAAAGTGAAGTTGGAAGGGGCCTTCAAGGCCATCAAGTCCAACCCCCTGCTCAAGGCAGGAATATAATCAAAGCGTATCTGCCAGGGGATGATCTAAGTTTCTCTTGAATGCCTCCAGTGTTAGAGGACTCACCAACTTCTGAGGTCACTGGTTCAACTGTCGTACTGCTCTAACAGTTAGGAGGTTTTTTGTGATATTCAACCAAAATCTGGCTCCCTGGGGCTTGAGCCCTTTATTATGTGTCCTCCACTCTGGGATGATTGTAAACAGATCATATCTCTCCTCTGCGTGACAATCTTTCAAGTATTTGAAGAGTGCTATAATATCTCCCTCGGCCTTCTTTTCTCAAAGCTAAATATGCACAATCTGTCCTCCTAGGGCTTGGTTTCCAGCCCCCTGATCATCCATGTTGCCCTCCTCTGAACTTGCCCAAAATAGACATAATTGGAAAAGTCTGGAAAAGTTAGCGATTGTGCTGGTTTGGGAATTCCGGAAAGGTATAATACAAAAACAGTAGTACGTTCAGCACTTTCTGGATGTGGTTATTCTATTGGAGAATTTTGGTTTTTCATTTTAGTTAGCAGAGTATAAGGTCAATAAAGGAACAAGACAGAAAAATGGAGTTCTGTCAGACAGTAAAGGGTCAAGAGACAGAGGATGATTGCAGGTGGAGCCAACATGGGTAAGGAAGCACATGTATTGTGAAAGATGCATGTCAAGATTGTAGCAGGTAGTGGGGTGCACTTGTTTGGGTGTAGGTAAGGGCATCATCTGACCAGGTCTTTCTGAGAGTAATTAAATCAGTTTGATTCAAATCAAATCTGTCCTGGTTAATTCATTAGCCATAAAGAAATTATAGAATGTTTCAGTTCTGAGCACTTATTGTTAGTTATCTGTAGGAAAGCCCAGCCTTGACCCCGTTTAAAAAAAAACTGAAGTGGGAAGAGAAGAAGCAATACGCACATTCTCCAGAAAGATGAACTTTGGTGTTGAAGGGACAGCTTTTTTTGTTGTGAAGTCAAGAGACAGTCTTTTGCTCTTAATGGAAGGGAAGCAATTGACATTTATTTGTAGGATAGCTGGGCGGGATGGCTTTCCGTGGCTGAAAGATGATCTCATGCTGGAACATTCTTGACTCCCCGGACTAGTTGACAGCAGTCGGCCGTGCTTGTAGAAACAGAAGAAGCTGCCTGAGACCCAGCCAGACTATAGGCCCATCTAGCGCAGTATATGGAGTCCTCAGAGATCGGCAAACTGCGACTCTTGGCCTGGCCGAAAAGCCAGCTGCATGGGATCAGTTCAGGTCTCCTCAAAAGACAATCTGTTCTTTTCCCAGCAACCCCTTGGGTTAGGAAGATGAGAGAGAGAGAGAGAGAAGGAGATCAGAGAGCTGTCCATTGCAGGTTCCAGCCCTCCCTGCTGTCTTCATGGGGCCCCTGACAGACTCACCCCAAGCAAATGCAGCCCACAACTGAAGAAAGGTTGTTCAACCCAGTCCTTCCAAAATAGAGTGATGCACAGCTCCCTCCGTTTGGTTTGGTGGCCAGTTCAGGATTGCTGAATACATCTTGACTCCCCTCCAGAGCAGCTTTATGTCCCATCCTGTTTTAGTTGGGATCCAGATGAAAATCAATATATATGTTGATCACCAGCTTCCTGATCGCTTGCATTGGAAATGTCATTTTTGCAGTGACAAGACATATAATTTGGAAACTCAGAGGACCTCAACGTAGGACATAAATCTGTCCAGTTTCCAGGGGGTGTGTGGGTTCTAGATATTGAAAAATGTTTACATATACAAATGTCCAAAGAGATTTTGCCATGTCCAGTTCAAAAAAATTCTTTTTACGTCACCCCAGAACTGAAACTGGCCATTTCACTTTGATCTGGACCTCATACAAACAGGTCCAAATAAGACTGATGGGTTTAGCAATTCATGTTTCTGCAGAAGCTGGCCAAAAGCTCTATTAATAACTGCTTTGGTTCAATCATGAATCCAAATCATGTTTCTGCAGAAGCTGGCCAAAAGCTCTGTTAATAACTGCCTTGGTTCAATCATGAATCCAAATCAAGAAATTAGAAGACTGGGATTAGGAAGGGCTGCAAGGGAGGAATTAGAAAAGATGATCAAGGGTAAGGATGTGGCACTGGAGACCAAAATCAAGATCATCCACATTCTTGTATTTCCGTCACCAGGTACGGGTGTGGAATCTGGATACTTAAAAAAGCAGAAGGGGGTGGGGGAAGATTCTTTTCAAATATGATGCTGGAGGATTGCTTTGTGGATACCCTGGTCTGCCAGAATGACAAACAATTAGGTCCTAGAGCAAATCAAGCCTGAACTGTCTCAAGAGGCAAAAATGTTGAACCTGGGGCTGTTGTGCTTTCAGCTGTTGTACTTTGCCCCATGAGGAGGCAGGATTCTCTGGAAAAGATAGCAATGCTGGAAAAGGAGGAAGACAGCAGGAAAAGAGGAAGACCCAATACAAGATGGATTGACTCCCTAAAGGGAAGCCACAGGCTTGAGTTTAGAAGAACTGAGCAGGACCATTGAGGACATTTTGCAAGATGGATTGACTCCCTAAAGGGAAGCCATAGGCTTGAGTTTAGAAGAATTGAGCAGGACCGTTGAGGACATTTTGTAGGTGGCTCATTCATAGGGTCAGTATAAGTTGGGGATGACTTGATGGCGCGTAACGCCAACAACCACAACTACAAGTGGCTCTCTAGGGTTTTAGGCAAGAGTATTTTTCCCCAGGCCTATCTGGAGGTGCCAGAGATTGACTCTGTATGAGATGTGCTCTACATGGAACCGTTACCTGGCCTTTTTCTAACATGTTGGTGACAGTGGCTTAAGTCCTTTTGTTTTGTGTAGTAAGTTGCAGCTGGACTTGGACCATTGAATCAATGGATTTTTGGACCACAAGTCCTGTAATTCCCCATTCTGGGAGTTCCGCCTGACTTGTACATACCTTGTGTGTTCTGTGCTGTCAAGTTAGAAATAACTTACAGCAACCTTGGCAGGATTTTCAAGGTAAGTGAAATATTTAAGGAGTGTTTTTACCATTTCCATACCTCCAGTGAATTTCCATGGTTGAGCGGGGATTCAAACCCTGTTCTCCAGAGTCTTAGTCCACCACTCTGTCCACTACACCACACTGGGGACATACTTTGCAGACACCTAAATGTGACTCACCTGGGAGAAAAGACCTACACTGGAAGGCTGGGTCTGTCTAAGGTCCTGTTCAAAAATAAAGCTCCCAGCTAGCACTGGGGCAGGAACAGGAAGCTTGGTGGAGCTAGGCCTAGCTAAGCCTCAATTTAGACCTTTTCTCCCAGGTGAACCATATGTACCTTTCTGTAGCATGTGTAGGTAGCCAGTGTGGTATAGTGGAAGAAGAGGCAGAATATGACTCTGGAGAACAAGGTTTGAGTGCCCGCTTGGCCATGGAAACTTATTGGGGCAGTGCAACTTGGTAAAGCCAGTCCTTAAATATCTCATTTACAGTGGTGCCCCGCATAGTGACGATAATCCATTCCGGAAAAATCGTTGCTACGTGGATTCGTGCTATGCGCAATAAAAAAGCCCATAGGAATGCATTAAAACCCGTTTAATGCGTTCCTATGGGCAAAAAACTCAGTTCTTCTTCGTGGCCTCTGTGAATGCACACTAATGGGTTAAATCTGCACTTGTGCAGAGGCCTCGGAATATTCTAGAGCTTAAAGTAACACTTTTGGCTCCGCCCCCCCAGGACCTCATGGTCCGCCCGCCCTAACAGTTACCTCAGTTCCATTTTTTCCGCTGCTGCAGTTAGGTCTCCTGGCTAGAGCTCCGTGAAATTATTGGAAATTCCTGGAAAATATTTGGCTCCTGTTCGATTCTTCATTAAGGAAAGTACAAAGACTTTATTATTTAGGAGGGGAGGTGTGCGTTTTGGCCCTTTGCGAGGGTTTTCCCTCTTTCCACCTCCCTTCCCCCCCCCCTTGGACTGTTCCCAGGCCTCCAAGGCTTCCTCATCTCCCCGGGTTACTTTTAAAAGCTGCATTGCCTTGGAGAGTCG